AAACTTCCTTACTGCACATAGTATAAAGGTAATCTGAAAAAATCTCATATGGTCTCTTGATTAATACTATTTAATCTTTTACCCTCAAATGAAGTATATGTGTGATGTAAGAGTAAATCTTTTTCTTGATATTTCTATGAAGAAGTGTTCACTCTTTAGCTGCCATTCAGCAATGTCTTAATTTTGATAAGCCACTTTATAATACACCTCATTTCTGTATAGACAAGTATTTTTTCTAGTTTTTATCTTTACAATAGCTTCACTAGTAATTCTTGGACAGTAATTCTTGAGGACCTCTGATTCTAGTACAGTTATTTATTTGCTTGGTATACTGACTGGAGTCATAAATATCTAGCCAAATATTGCTAATTCCTGCAATATACCTTTGGCATTTCCCTCAGGAAATAGTAATGGATAACATCAGACAAATAACATATTCTTTTTTTATGTGCTTATATGGTAGCTTGAACTCAGGGCCTCAAGCTTGGACCTGGCACTCTACCACTTGGTTGACACTTCCAATTTGGCATTTTGTTAGTAATTTTGGAGATACAGTCTCATGAACTTTTCCTCCTGGCTTTAAATGGCAATCCTATGATCTTAGCCTCTAAGTAGCTAGGACTACAGGCATGAGCCTGGGTCACTCAAATGATTCCTTAATAATTTACTTTCATTTATCTTTTCTTTTCCCTCTCTTCCTCCTTTCCTTTCTTTCATCTTTCCTCTTTCCCCCTCTTTCTTTCATGTTCTATCTCCTGTTCCTTACACCCACCTTTCTAGATGGGTTCTCACTGTGTTGCCCAGACTGGTCTTGAACTCCTGAGCCCAAGTATTCCTCTTGCCTTAGCCTTCTGAATAGGTAGGACTATCAGTGGGCACCACTGCAGTGGATGTTTAATTTTCAGTATTGGAGGCTAAACCAAGGACTTCGTGCATACCAAGCACACACCTACCACTAAGCTGCATCTTGGGCACTATCTAAAGGATTTCCAAGTAAACAAAGACTTCCTTCCCAGGTGCTTAATTTGCAGGACTTACCCAGGCTCAGCTCGTACCACACTATCGTGTTTGACCTCTGCTCTCTCTCTCATAACTCGCTCACAAAAATGAAAACACTATTTTGACTTAGTCATCCCTAAGACTAGTAATTAGACAGTCTGAGCAATTAAAAGTAAGCTAGGCACTTCCAATCCCTAAGAACTAAGTATCTAAGTTTTTACCTAAGCTACTGACATTATGAAAAAAGTCATTTTAGTCCTTGAACTGTACACTTTAAGTGACTTAATTATATGACATTATTAACTATTTCCTGCTTACAAATAAAATACCTTAAGTTGGGAACTTTCCAAGAAAGCTTATTTTTTTATTTAGCTCCCAGTCTTGGAGACAGGAAGACCAAAATTGGGCATATCTACTCTGTTCCTAGTGAGGGCCTGGTGTGCTGCATCACAGCACTGGGGCTATGTGTGTGAACCGTCATACAGTAAGAGAGGAAGCCAGAGGGATTCAGGAAGGCAGAGGGATTCAGGAGCTAGGTTTGATCTCATTATAGCAACCTGCTGTCTCTCAGAACTAATGGGTGTCACCAAAAACCACATTAATCCCTTCCAAGGGCTATATCTTCAATGACCTAAAGACATCTCACTAGGGGCTGGGAAGGTAACTCAGTGGTAGAGCGCTTGCCTTGCATGCATGAGGTCCTGGGTTCGATTCCTCAGCACCACATAAGCAACAAGAAAAAAGCCGGAAGTGGCACTGTGGCTCAAGAGCGCTAGCCTTGAGCTGAAGAGCTGAGGGACAGTGCCCAGGCCCAGAGTTCAGGCCCACGACTGGACCCCCCTCCCAAAAAAAAGACTTCTCACTAGACCTCATCTCTTAAGGTTTCCACTACCTTTGCACTGCCATACTGGAGAGCAAACTTCCAGCACAGGAACTTTTGGGGTTCAGACTCCAACATATCCAAAGCATTGTGTATGATATGATACTTCTAGCTCATTAAAGCTATGAGGGGTGATGCCTAGTTCATTGGTGAAGTTTTTGCCTAGCATGCTTGAGTCTCTGGGTGTCATCCTCAGTATTGGGAACAAAAATAAAGGAAGAAAAAAGAGGGTAGAGAGGAGGGAGAGAACAGAAGTATGCTTCATTTTCTAACAAACCTCTGTGATGATTTCTCTTCTCTTTGGGACCGTCCTCAGATGCGCTCATGTGTTTGGCCACAGGATATACCAGCCAAATATAATTTGTTCTTCTGGACTCTTCTAGCATGTATTCTTTCCTTCCATTACCATTTTGCTTCTCAGTCCATCTACCTTACCACAGAACCTGCTTATCTTCTTCATAAGCCGGTGAAGTCTTCTTAGGGCTGGGGAGTAACAAGGCATACGAGGCTGTATAAGGCCCATGAAATAATTTGATTTGGTCCTGCTCAAGCTATCACTGGCAAGACTCAAAACTTAATACATCTAGGCCATGAATGCTATCATAAATATCTAAATTATCTTGATAGAAAAATGTCTTAGGCATCCACTGTGTCTTCTTTATCTGTGTTGTAGTGGCAAGCAGTTCAGTTTTCCCCAGAACTTCTTGTCAGTAATCAAGAAAAAGACATAACAGGAAAAATGGCCCAAGAGTGTGAATTTCCTGTCACTGCCTTCTGCATATCCTCTGGACGATGTCAGAATAAACAAACCATCATGAGAAAAAAGAAAAACAAGTTGGTGAGGGTTGGCATCCTCCCCACTATAACTCTGTTAGAAGCTGAATGAACAGTGAGGGGCCTGAAGGAAGGAGGTCTTACCAGCCAGGCCCAGACTTGGCCCATACACCTTGTGGCTCTGTTTTCAAAGGAAGCCAACCAATGGAGAAGTAGCCAAGAGCTATGTAGGGCCCCATGGCTTCTCCTCTAAGGCTACATGACAGTACAGATCCTTTTTTAGATCTCTCCTGTTTCTTTCATCTCTGTCTTGAGCCATGTTGAATGAAAACTTAAGACAAAATCAATTTAACAAAGCCTGGCTTGAGCACAGAATGACTCATCAATAAGGCAACATTCAAGACCAGAAAGATGTCTTTTCTAGTCTGAGCTAAGGAGTAAAGTACAGAAACAACTTGAGTGGCATTGAGGGGATCTGCTGTTTGGTTGAAACTCTATTTTGTTACCAAAAAAATATACCAGTAAGCCCACTTTACTTGTGGCTTTAGTACATGTAGTTTTGACTGGTCAAAAAATGAATAAAAGCACCAATAAAATTAATTAAAAATAAGCTGGGCACTGATGGCTCATGCCTGTAATCCTAGCTACTCAGGAGCCTGAGATCTGAGGATCATGGTTCAACACTAGCCTGGGCAAGAAAGTCCATGAGACTGTTATCTTAACTACCAGAAAACTGGAAGTGGTGCTGTGGCTCAAGTGGTAGAGTGTTAGCCTTGAGCTGAAGAGCTCAGGGACAGGGCCTAGGTCCAGAGTTCAAGTCCCATGACCAACAAAAAAAATCAAAATAAAATTCAAAATCAAAAAGATTTCAATTCATTTGTGTGCCTTCACAGCTCAGTCAATGTGAAGGTGCAGTCAGCTTATGTTGTCAGTTGTGCTAAACCCTTATGTGATCTGCTCTTTGTGTGTGTGTGTGTGTGTGTGTGTGAGAGAGAGAGAGAGAGAGAGAAAGAGAGAGAGAGAGAGAGAGAGTCCCGGTTCTCAGACTTGAACTCAGGGCCTGGACTCTATCCCTGAGCTTTTTTTGCTCAAGGCTAGCATTCTACCACTTGAACCACACCTCCACTTCCAGCTTTCTTTTGGTAGTTAATTGGAGGTAAGAGTCTCACAAACTTTCCTGTCTGCTCTAGCTTCCTGGTGATTCTCAGATCTTAGCTTTTAGAGTAGCTAGGATTACAGGCATGAGTCACTATCACCAGGCTACTGCTCTTAATACTGTGAAAATCTTCCTCCACAAAAGCAAATAGTGCCCTTTCAAGCAAGGTAAAAGGTAAGTGCTTAATTTAAATGATGAAAGTTTTAGATTTCTGCTAAAGCAGAAGTTGGACAGCATTAGGGGAAAAATTAATCTTGAGCATACATATTTTTCCCTCGGTGGTGGTCTCTTTGAGACCACATAACCAAGAATACTAAAAGTCTACTGTAACTCTTAAACTTTCTTTCTTTCTTCCTTCCTTCCTTCCTTCCTTCTTCCTTCCTTCCTCTCTTTCTTTCTTTCTGTGATGAACATAGAACCTAGGCCTTACACATGGAAGACAAGTGCTCTATTACTGAGTTACATTCCCAACCCAGGTGTTTGTTTATATACTAAATTAGGTTGCAGTTTGTTCATAAGACCTCAACTTGCTATACAGAAACTCAAATTATAGAGACAGCGTCAGGCTAATGGTCCCATGAGTATTGATTTAGTAGCTGCTTGAATTAGAGAAGTCAGCTTTTCTTATTGGACCTAGGTGACTGTTAGGTTTGAGACTGCTGTATCTTCTTTCATTCTAATTTGGGAAACAAATTTTTCCTGCTATCAAAAGCCATAAAGAATCTGTAATTAAATTACAATTTCATTCCAGTCACCTACAGTAAATGAGTTTTTAATGGTTTCATCATACTTGGTTAAAGAATGGAGTCACATGATTTTTTTACTTTTTTCTGTTTTCACTGATCACTTTATAAAGATAACTTTTCAATTCGTACCCCTATACATCTGTAACATCATTATCAATAAATTTGGCTTACCACATCATGTACTTACCATGTTTCCTTTCATGACCTTTAACACTGAGGGTACCCCAGCTCAACCTCCATGTTTTGGTTACTGGTTCATCAATATTTTACAGGATTGATGTGATTATCCTCTAATTCTAATGAGTCTCTGATCTTATATTCTTAGGTCTCAGTGAGCTTTTCTCACCTTCAAAATTCATTGAGAGGTGACTCATGGTTGAATTTCTTTTCTCAATCTCTTTTACTTTCAAAACATGTAATTCTATTTTTTTTTTTTCACATCTAGGAGTTTTTTGATGTGTGGCCAGTTCTGATGGGTGAGGCTCCTCCCTATTCTGGTCCCAGGACTCCAGATGGAAGGGTAAGTCTCTCTTTGACCTTTTCAATATGAATAAATGTTTAATGAAATTCAAGTGCAAGAAATAATAGGATCTTTCTTTCTTACATATGCATTAATCTTCTCTGTATTAGGTTTTTTTTTGAGATATAATAATTCATCACAATTGCCAAGGCCTATCATTTACAAAATGTTTTCAACATCTTGCTGGAGTTCATAGCAACCTGAAGAATAGACAAAGCAGAGAATATCCTCATTTCACATATGAATAAAGTTTCCAAGAAAGGTCAAAAACTCTGTGTAAGATTTATCCATCAAGAGGTGAAAACAATTTGAACTAAAAAGAACCATTATATTTAATTTAGAGTGCTCAACTAGTAACCAGGAAATCATTTCCAACCAACAGACATGCTTCTTTGACTGCATTAGTTTAATATTTTTGTTTGTACTCTTAAAAATGGAATTGTCAACTAACAATAAGTATTTGGATTCTGTTTATTTCAGAAAGATGGCAGGTCAATCAAAATTATACCTACTATTCAACAGGGCAAGTTGGATTGATGCTAAGGAACAGCTGTCCTTTCAGAACTCAGACAGAGCTCCTATCCACACATTCATGTCTCTATCTGGCTGTCTAGACATTTGAGTTTCTGACATCTGGTCTCATCTGGTGGTCTTATTGCAAAAATGAGGCAATTATTATTATTATTGTTATTATTAATTATTGCCTGTCCTGGGGCTTGAATTCAGGCCCAGGGCACTGTCCCTTAGCCTCTTTGTCCTCAAGGCTAGTGCTCTACCACTTGAGCCACAGTGCCAATAGTGAGTAGTTTATTGGAGATAAGAGTTTCAGACTTGAGCTGGGAAGGTAGCTCAATGGAAGAGCGCTTGCCTAGCATGCCTGAGCCCTGGGTTGGATTCCTCAGCACCACATAAGCAAACAGAAAAAAGCTGGAAGTGGTGCTGTGGCTCAAGTGGTAGAGCGCTAGCCTTGAGCTGAAGAGCTGAGGGACAGCACCCAGGCCCAGAGTTCAGGCCCCGTGACTGGACACCCCCCCCCACCACCAAAAAAAAAAAAAAGAGAGAGTTTCAGACTTTTCTGCCTGGGCTGACCTCAAACCACAATCCTCAGAGTACCTCAGCTTCCTGAGTAGCTAGGAGTATAGGTTGAGACATTAGCATTTATCCCCAATCACTTTTGAGAAGCTGAAATAATAGGTTTTAGATATGAATATGTTATACACAGATCTGGCACTCAAGTGTCCTGTGGAATCTGTCAAATAATGAACTGATCTTAGTTGAGGGAATCTAGCACAAGTAAGCAAGAGGGTCCTGCCCTGAATTTTAGTCTGACTCTTTCCTTGTAAGAATTGTCAGTATAAAATAGTATATCAGTTTCTTCTAGAGGCCTGATCCGACCCAGCCAACGCTAACCATGTTTCAAAGAAAGAGCTGTGTATGTAAGATATTAATTAGTCTTCACCCAAAATCTAGAAATTCAAAGTGAATACCTTGGTGAGTTTCCTCTACACATCAGAATAGTTCACACTTGGAATCTGTTCTGTCTGTTTGGTGTGCTTTATCCAAAATGGCTGTTGTAACTTATTGCCATCCAGTAGAGCCTGTAGAATGCCAAGTACATGCTCTACTACTGCACTCCAACTTCTAGCCTGACACTTTTTTTTTTGCCGGTTGTGGGGCTTGAACTCAGGGCTTGGGTGCTGTCCCTCAGCTCTTCAGCTCAAGGCTAGCGCTCTACCACTTGAGCCACAATGCCACTTCTGGCTTTTTCTGTTTGTGTGGTGCTGAGGAATCAAACTCAGAGACTCATGCATGCAAAGCAAGCACTTTACCACTGAGCCACCTTCCCAGCCCCAACGCATATTCTTTTTAAGGAGAGTTTTTTTTTTTTTTTAAAGTATAGCTTCTTTGTTTTTATGTTGTCTTGGTTGACATGCTCCCAGTGGATGAGACTCTTTTTGTAGTTCACATGTCAGTTGAGCCTGTATCTTCTGGAAAATTAAAAACGAAAGAACTGAAATAGAGTTGCCACTGCTCTCAGACATCACCAGCTCAATTCATTCCCATTTCCTTGACTTCTTTGACAGTCTGAAATCTGAGCTAAGCCCTTAGATCAGATGTCATCTCCAGCTATAGGAAAGCCAAAGAAATATCATACTATAATTACTATGGCTTTTCATCCACAAGTGCCCCAGTCATTGAGACTGAAGTGATTAGGACATTTTCTTATTGAGCATCAGGCCAAGAAGAGATGTCCATCCTTTGACCAGCTCAAGAAGTTTTGAGACTGGGAAGTGGCTTTAGTGTATATAGCTCATGTGGTAGAGTGCTTGAATATCAAAAGGGGGTGGTGAGGATGAGGAGGAAAGGAGGAAGAGGGGAGGAGGGGAAGGAGGAAGAGGAAGAGGGGAGGAGGCAGCAGTGGCGATTGGGTGCTAATGGCTCATCTCTGTAATCCTAGCTACTCAGAAGGCTGAGGTCTGAGGGTCAAGGTTCAAAGCCAGCCCAAGTAGGAAAGTCTGTGTGACTCTGATCTCCAAATAATCATTAAAAAGCCAGAAGTGGAGGTATGGCTCAATGGTAGAGTGCCAGCCTTGAGTAAAACAGCTAAGGAATAGCACCCGGAACATGAGTTCAAGCCCCATTACTGGTAGCAAAAGAGAAAGAAAGGAAAGAAAGAAAGAAAGAAAGAAAGAAAGAAAGAAAGAAAGAAAGAAAGAAAGAAAGAAAGAAGAAAGAAAGAGTGAGAGAAAGAAAGAGCGAAAGAAAGAGAGAAAGAAAGAAAGAGAGAGAGAAAGAAAGAAAGAAAGAAAGAGAGAGAGAAAGAGAGAAAGGAAAGGAAGGAAGGAAGGAAGGAAGGAAGTAGAGTAGGAAGCATAAGCAGTAGTTTGGCCGGCACACTCACAGTTAAGGTTTTCTTTTTGAGGCCTCACGTGATTGGACAGCAACACTTCTGGGAGCCTGGAGAAAGGAAGCTGGCATGGAGCCCTAGGTCAGAGCCTCCCAGGATTGGCAGAAGGGGAGTTGAGGAGAGAGTGGACAATCATAGTGTTCCTGACAGGAATGCAGAAATCTGGAAGATCAAGAACTCCTTGGCTTTTTTTCCTTTCCCCTTTCTCTTTTCTTTTCTTTTCTTTTTTTTCAGTATGGAGTTTGGACTCAGGTAAGCCTTTGTGCTTGCCAGGTTAGGAACTCTATAGCTTGAGCCAGGCAACTAGTCCTAAGAAGCTCCTTAAGAGCTTACAGGAGGCTGCAGCAAAGGCAGCTGCTTATCACTGACTTCCTATCAAAGACCTTTCCTATCTCATTAATGGAAAATGTGAGTCAATGAGCCTGAAACCTCACCTGACATTAAGTTGAGTAAACCACCTTTCCCTTCTGGGAGTCCTTAATTCTCTACACCCAGGACTCAAACTTTACTGGTTGTTTACTGGTGGAGCAACTGTATCAGAAGAAGGAAAGATCAACCTTGACTTTGAACCTTTCAAAGTAGTTAAACAGTCACTGTGCATGTATAACAGGAAGTTCCCTACAACACAACTTACAGCACAACTTTCAGATTCCAGTTTAAAATTGTTGTCAGTCTTAGGATTTTGAACTCAGGCAAGCACATGATAACTTGAGCCGCACCTCCAGCAGTCAGGCAGTGGCTTAGTGTAGCATGTGTGTACTTTTTGGCACATTCACAGGAAACAGGAGAAGTCCTGCACAAATCTAAAGAAACAGAGCAGCAGTAAGTATACCTCATGTTTTGCCCATTTAAGAATGAGAACATTACCTGGGTGCCAGTGGCTCAGTCCTAAGTATGAAGGAGGTAGAGATCAGAAGGACTGTAGATGAAGGCCAGCCCTGGCAAAAAGTTGGAGAGATAACATTTCAATCAATAAAAGCGAGGCATGGTGGTATGCACCTGCTATTTCAGCTATGAGGGAAGTTTAAATAGGATGACAGTTCAGGCCAGACAGGACATAGTAGAAGACCATATTTGAAAAATAACAAATACTAAAGAGACTGGGATGTGACTCAAGTAGTAGAGCACCTGCTCTGCAAGCACAAGTCCACAAATCAAACCTCAGTGTAGAAAAAGACTTTGGAAAGACCATGTAATTACGTTCAGTGAGCAGCAGAAACTACTGTATGGCTGATTTTTCTGGAGACAAAATGAATATGATTGGGTCTGTCTCAGGTAACTCAGCTGACTTTACAACCCAGGTCCTAGAGATCCCAGACATTTCCAAACAAATTTTGAGCTGTTTCTTGGAGATGGCCCTAGTGTTCAGAAGGGATAGAGTTTCAAAAGTTAGTTCCATTTGAATTATAAAGTGGCCTTGATATTTTGGTGGATATCCAGTATTCTACAGACCCCAAGAAATGAAGGGGATCATCTTCCTACTGGAGGAAAGTTCTACAATCTGAAGTTAAGGACCTTGATTTGCTTATTATGATATTTTTAGGTGCAGTAACCATAGGATCTGACAGTACATTGCTTAGAAACAACAAAGTTTTTTTTGTTTTGTTTTTTTGGGTCCAGTCGTGGGGCCTGAACTCTGGGCCTGGGCGCTGTCCCTCAGCTCTTTAGCTCAAGGCTAGTGCTCTTCCACTTGAGCCACAGCGCCACTTCCAGCTTTTTTCTGTTTGCTTATGCGGTGCTGAGGAATTGAACCCATGGCCTCATGCACACAAGGCAAGCGCTCTACCACTGATCCACCTTCCCAGCCTCAGAAACAACAAAGTTTCGTTAGTGTCCTTGGCTACTTTTAGCATCATATTTAATGCTTTCTCTAGAAAATCTAGAATCAAGATTATAATAGTTAAAAGATGAGTAGATGTTAAAGTTATAAAATAAACAAATAAAAACCTAGAATTAGCCATTTTGATATGTTCAAGGTTATAATCAAAAGTTTAAAATTCAGTTGGGCACCTGAAAAATTAAATTGGGCTCATACCTGTAATTTAGCTACTGAGATCTAAGGATCAAGATTTGAAGCCAACAGGTCAGAAAA